AGTAATCAAAAAAATAAATAGAAAAAGTAGGTGTAACGCACCAAGGTATGAGCAACCAGGACCAAAAAGAGATTACACACCAAAAAAACAAAAAGATTCACCTAATATAGCAGAGCGGTGCAGGTACAGAGACACTGAGACATACTGACACTGCTTTTTGAGGCCACAGCAGATAGGTGGACTTGAAAGGGGAGCAACCGGGACAAAATCCGGCACCCCGACCAGGACTAGAACCCAGTGTGCCGGCACCGCAGGCGGTATAGTAGTAGATGGGTTTGATAGGTGATAGGTAATACACATAGACATAGATGATAGATATGATTAATAGATGTAAGTAGGTAGGTAGGTAGATAACCGATAGAGATAGATCAGTGATACAGATAGATATTGATGACAGACATTGTCACCATAGAGAAGCCTTCACAAGAAAGAATTCAGGCATGAGAGAGAGCAGAGCAACAAGGTTTTATTGGGGGTAGGGCATTCGTCAGAATGGAAGGGACAGATAGAGAGAGTGCCCAGTCACTCGGCCTGGGGAAGGGCAGGAATGGTTGAATGGAGAGAACACACCTGGGCAGGCCAGGCGCCGGGGGCAGAGCGGAGAGCGGAGAGCAGAGAGCGGAGCGCAGAGGAGCGCAGACCGCAGTCTCTGTTTAGACCAGGCCTTATCTATCAAGGGAAGGGGTCCAGGTTTTCCTTCTCCTGGAGCCCTGGGGCTGGGCAAAGGCCAAGAAGCTTCCCCTAGGGCGCCTGTGGAGGCTCTGTTGCCCCGTGTTCTCAGGTCAGGTGACCCATCTGGTCCTGAGGAGAGAATTCTCCCGGGAGCTTTCCTTGGGGGAAGGGCTGGGACCACCTAGGAGGTTATCAGGGTCTGCGCAGGACTTTGAAGTGCACAGTGCTGGGCTTCTGGGGCTTCCGCAGGAGATGCTGGTCTCTTCAGACCCTTCTCTCACACACAGGCTGTTTTAACTTCCTACCTAAGAACATGGCAGACAGGGGACAGATAAATGACAGATGACAGATCTGCACCTAGAGTTGTGGCTCTACACTCAGCTTTTTCAGAGTGGTCTCAGACCCCTGAGGTCCCCCCGGAGCCCCCCACGTGGGCTCACCTCTTCCCAGACCCTGGGGCAGCCCCAGCCCCTCCCGGACTGCTGGCCCGGGCCTCTGCTGGAGCAGCCCGAGTGGTGGTCACTGGATGCCTCGGGCCGCCACGCGCTCCACCGCAGCTCTCCAAGCACTCCCAGGGCGTCCCCAGCATTTCACCACAGCGTGCTCAGGGAGGGGCGGGCAGAAGCGCCCTCAGGACACCTTCTGAGGCAGCCCCCGGCCCCTGCTCAGACGAAATGGGAGTCTGTTGTTTCCACTTGAAAAGGCCTGGTAGGGTTAGGGTCCCTAGCACACCCACTTTTAAAGGCATTCCTTTACTTGTTTGCGTTCTGTATCCGCCAGGAAGCTGGAGGAGGGCCAGAAGCAATGTTTATCGTGTGATTCTGCGCTGTCTGCCAAGTCACCCAGCGCCTCCGGGAGCAGGGGCGCCACCCCCTTTTGTGAAACTGGAACCTCCAGGGAAAGTCCCAGCGCCCCGCCCAGTCCCCGGGCCCCACCCCTCCAACTGTTGGCCCTGTTCCTGCTCGCCTGTCCCCTGAAAGGCCCCAGGCCCACCCCCGTGCCCTGTGGGCTTGCGGTGCGTCCCCCCGAAAGTCCCTCTCGTGTCCCTGCCCGACCGCTCTTCGGCGTCGGTCACCGGGCCGCCATCGTCAACGGCGATGGCTTTCCCGGCCTGCTGGGCTGAAGGAAGCCAGATTCCTGCGCCCTGGGGGCCTACGGAGTCGCGTGGCGGGCGGGGCAGGCGGGCAGGGTCGCGGACGCGCTGCGTGGTGTCCGCGGCCCGCACTCCCTGCTCGGGCCACATGGTGGGGTGCGCCGGGCGGGAGCCCGGGGTTTCAGGGCGGCTCGCTCTGGGGAGGAGCTGGCCCCGGGCCAGCAGGATGCGGGAAAGGAAGAGTCCGGGGAAGGGGGCTGGGTGCGGTGTGCGGGCCCGATGACGTGGGGACGACCGGAGGTCCCGCGGCCAGCGACGGGCTCCGCACGTGTCCAGACGGCCAGAATCGCCCTCCCGCCCCCTTACCCCGCACCACAGCGCCTCTACAGGTGTCTTGGGCCTGGACGCTGCGGGAAGTCTGCGCTTTGTTCCCCAGCGGCTGCGTGGCCCTGGAATCAGAGCTGCACCCTCCTGCGTCCGCGGGTGGACGTCTGCGCAGCCGCACCTGCCCTGATCCTAGGGTCTCTAGCCTCGGAATTCCACACCTGCCCTGTGCTCCGGGGACTCCCATGAGGACCAGACCCCACCAGCTATGACACGCCCTTCTAGGGCCTCGGAGCACCGGGAGCCGGGCACCGAGGGTCAAGGCCAGGCCTCAGGATGGGGGCAGGTGATGCATGGACTCTGAGCTTCTGCAGGATCTTGGGATAGCACAAGGAACCTCCCGAAGTTCTCCCAGGGTGCTGTTTCCTGGAACATCTGGGCCCTGAAACCAATTGGCTCAGGGCTGGGGAGCTGCCTCCCAGAGAACTCCCTTTTGTCCTGCAGTGTGTGCGTGTTCTCAGTTCACTTTGCTTCAAAGCAATTTCCAGGTGCCCCCAATGAGAGGCTTCCTGTTTTCTGTTGACATTTCTCCTTGCTAATCGCCCCAGTGGGATGGGCCGAAGGGAGCGGGCACCTGCAGTCCAGCCCTGCAGAACCTGGGTGTGTGCAGGCTGGGCCAGGCTTTGAGCTCGCTGTGTCTGCGCACAGCCTGCCGGGGGAGCTCCGGCACCTCCTGCAAGACTCAGCCACCCCCCGACACACACACACACACACACACACACACGGCCCCTTGCTGCCTTCACGCCAGTTCTCTCAGCCTGGACTCTGACCGCCAAGTCTCCTGCCCTGCCTGCTTGCCCTCCTGCACTGGTGCCTTCTGCTCCTGTGCTCTCCCTAGGGACCTCCAACCTGGTCTCCAGCCCACCCTGAGGGCCTCCAGCCACACCCCTGCACCTATCCACCCAGCTGTTCCTGTGCCTTGGCCTCCCCATCTCATCCAGACTCCGAGCTACGAGCCGAGCCGTGGGTTAGACTGCCTCCGTCACCCTCATTGAGAGCGTGGCCGTGTGCTTTGCACAAAGGGGCACGAGGGAAATGTTTGCCAGGTGTAACCCAGGAGGCTCGGGGGAGGGCACCGACAGAGGCCGAGCGACTGAAAGGCAAGAGAAAGGGTGCCGAGTTAGCCCGGAAATGCCCGGGCGTGCCAGCGAATGCCTGCAGGGAGAGAAACAGAGCGGTGTAGCAAGTACAGAAACAAACGAGGGTGCACACCGGCCCCCCGCTCCAGTGACAGCTCCTCCCGCATCTGCAGAAGCAGCCCGGACCCACGTCACGAACTCCGTGCACTAAAGCCACGCTCTTCACCCAGCCCTTAAGTTCTCCGCGCTCAGGAAACCCTGCTTTATTTAACGCTTCTGACCAATGCAGGCTTGGAAATCCACAGCAGGTTAGAAGGAGCAAATCCAAGTGTCGCTGAACTGCTTTAGGCTGCCACCCTGCCGGCCCTGAGAAGCGACAGGTGACAGCCCTCGTCGGGGATGAAAACGCTGATCTCTAGAAGGCGATCACAGGAACTCAGACGGCCCAGCGGCCTGGGGCGGGGGTGCCGGGCAGAGCCATGCCTTGGCCAGCGGTGCCTCTCCAGTGCCCTCCACGCCCGGCCTCGCTTGGCAGCTCAGCATGATTAAGCCCGAGTCATGAGAAAAATCAAATGAGCCACTGAGCCACAATGCTGGCCCGGCATGGCATTTTTATTTTTTACGTCAAAATGAACCCAGCATTTAATTCCATTTCCCACAAGCATTTTACAGTACCCTCCAATAGATCCCCTCAACTGCCTCCCCTACCACCTTTTTTTTTTTTTTTTAAAGAATTCACCCTGGTCGTAAGAACCTCCAACTGTCAATCCAGGAAGGCAGGTGGGCATTGTCCTGGTTCACAGCTGAAGGGCTGAAGCACAGGGACAGCAGACCAGGAGGGGGCGGAGTTGGGGTTTGTACCTGGGTCCTACCTGCCGATGAGTCACGGGCTTTCACTACATCGTGCCGCCTGTCCTGGGGGAAACGCTGGGAGGGTAACTTCCGCGTGAGCGAGCAGGCGCGCGAGCTGACAGCTTCTGACAACTTGGAAGTCCTGCCTCCAAA